CCGCAAAACATTGTTGGGTCTGAAATTAGTGAGTGAGAGAGTGAACGTGGATTTTCTGTCTGATCCAAGAAAATAGTATGGATTCAAACTACACAGATGCAGTGTAGTGATTACATCACTCAAAATTAAATAAAAGAGGTGACCATTCATTTTATATGTTCCAGTACATAGTGTGGAAAATATACTTTTTGGAGGCATTCAGATTTTAAATATTCTCTTATTTTGGTCAATATGTTTACCATTTTTACCATTCAACATTATCTGGTCATTATTCTGGTTTTTCTACAAAGTGTGTTTTCCAGAATACATTAAAATATCAAAACACCCCAAAACAGCCTCAAAAGGATGAAACACCAATTAGGAAGTAGAACTCTCTTAGATCCACATGCCTGGACAATTCATATTGTTTTTTGGTAAAATTGAGATGATAAACCTATGTGCTCCTCCATACACTGGCTTGCTCCTCATGAAAAATTACCTCTTTTTCAGATTTGGTTGTAGGAAGAACAGATGTTTAGAAGTGTATCTAGCTGCATGTTGTTTTTGTTTGACTGATAAGATTAGCAAGAGTGAAGGTGGAGCTACGTCTTTAACGTTTAGAGTCCTGAACTATTTCGCCATCAGCCTCCATACTTTTTTTTTAACAAACACATCATTTTTAACAAACTTTTAGCTACTCATATTACTCGAATTGTTTCAGATGGAGAAAGATAGAAACACGTTTGGCTCCATATTAAGTACTGGTTTAAAAAAATTCTAAAATCTTTTTATCAACAATGAACAATTAATAAATACATGTATTAAATCAATTAATAAAAAAACGCATCACACAAAAGCATATTGAATGACCTCAAGACCATTTATTCAATGAAGCATACAAGACAAAACATACAATCCCGGAGCCTCTGTGCAGGTTAGAGCTCACATTTATATACATTACATTTCTCATCTTATGCTTTTGAAGATGTAATTTCCCTTGATGCACTTCTAGCTGTGGGTGTGTTTGTGTATAAGTTTCAGGCATGCAGATTCACGCCTTTGCGAAGCTGGCAGGTGTCTGCCACATAAAACTAAATCGTGAAAACTACAGCTGATTCCTGCTGGAATGTATAATTTTCTCATTTCCTTCACAAGCAGTTGGCCCTTTGCAAATTAACACGGGGCTCTGACCCCGACGCTGCATGCAGAGGCAGCGAGGAGATGGCATAACGCACAGCAAATGGTATTTCAATCAGACACAGTCTTTTTCACACCCATCAAATCATCTCTATATACATAATTCATACACCTGTGAAAGGATGAGCTCTATTTCCACACTTCTGCAACATGAAGAGTATGATTACAGATTAATCTGCATGGTTTGCCCTCACTTCATAAGAATGCTGCTTTTCTAGTTTAAGGGATTTGCACAGCAATTCCTGATCATGTGCATTTTCATTTATTCGGGCTGTGGGATAAATAATAAGGGATGAAATGCTATTAAGCTTTAAGATCAAGGGTGGAAAGGGGCACAGCTTTTGAGGGATAACATTTAAAGAAAGATCTGAACGTTACCAAAAAGTCTCTATGAGTTTAAATTTCCCACATCATATTAATCATAATTCTTTTTTTGAGACAATTTGGAAGGTCTACATACCAAGTTCTCAATCATTCGGACTAAGGAAGAGAATAAAATAATGTTGGGAGAGAAAGTGTAATAGTGGTAGTATTTCATTAGCACCATCTACAAACGAAAGTATTACACTAGTCTTTTAAAGAGGTGGGTGTCCACAAGCCCGTCTGCCACTTCAATGGTGGAAAGTTAATGAATAAGTAGATTAAGCTGTGGACATGCTCTAACTTAAATCTTTAAATCTGGCTTTTGTCTGGCTGTTGCGGATTGGATGTATATTGGTTGGCTAATCTTGACATGGAAATGCTAATCATGTCTTTTGTCATACTACAGGCACCTCATGGACAGTCGGGCTTATGTGCATTCAAATAACATTGTTTGGTGGCAAGCTTACAAAGCTCATTGATTTGTAAAGCATTGCATCTCAAACATTATATTGTGAAATACACATTGAAAACGAAACTACAAATTGAAAACGAAACTACAAATCCATGCCGCATCGAACAGAGCTTGCTGAAAGAGGTCGCCTCGATGACCTCATTGAGATCGACTGCAGTATTGACATATGGCGCTCTCAAGCTAGTTAAATGACTCTTCAGTTATTCTGTTGTTTTTAAGGATTGTTTAGGGATTTTTTGGTTTTATTTTAAACGTACAGGTTAGTATTTAGACAAGAAGAAAAGCGGTACAGAGACGGGGGAGGATATGAAATGACAATGGGCTTGAGACTCTGTCTGCCGCACTGTCCACTATACTACAGGGCCAGGCTTATGTTATTTAAAAACCATTTAAATTACGGTCATAGATTGTCTATACATTGATTGCCAAATTTGAGTAGTCTTCTTTTATTTTAGGTTTATTTTACTTGATTTTTGAAGACTGCTAAGTTGCTGAAGCTTCATTTGGTGCAGAGCCTGATTTCAAAGATCAGATTGCTTCTGAGCATGTGCAAACCCATTATTGTTTTTATCACTAAGAATCCAATCAGTGCTGATCACAGGATGTTACTTCACTGCGTCACACTCCTATATATCACCAGCATTTCTTACAATATCAATATGTAATTTTCAGCTTGAACTTATAACAGTGAAGTTTCAAGCAGGAAAAATATTGTATCCATTGGAAAACAATGATCATTTTATACTGAACCACTACTGCTAAACTAAGTCAGCGACAGATTTGTGAAAAGTTTCCCAAACAGGGCGAGATGGAGAAATGTTGTAAAAATAGGGAGAAAAAAACTCAGCTTAATTTTACTTCAAGTATGTAAAGGTGAATACATACAACAAATCAATTCACACCAGATTAAATATAATATATATACTTTGTTTGTCAAAGTACACTTTACAAATAACATGTAAATAAGGCTATTGCAACCAAACCAACCGTTTTATCCTTCAAATCTATACTGAGTTATTGAGAGTTGAGAGAGTAGGTTAATGAGAGAGAGGGAGAGAGAGAGAGGGAGAGAGAGAGAGAGAGAAGGAGCAGCACCATATCTCCGTGAAATTAAATAACTTTACAGGAAGCAACATATAAAACAGATTCGGAGGCTTGGCCGGCATAGGATTTGCGTGGGAATGTGAAATTGTCTGTCCTCAGGTGAACTTCAGTACTGTATGTTTCCATTTGTACATTTGCATTTGAGACTCTGGACACCATGTGACATCCCTCCTGCTTTCAGAGCCCCAAGAGCAGTCATTCTCTGCGCAATCAGAGCCCTGCCTGCAGGATCCCAGCCAAAGCTCTCATCCTCAGTCTCCTTGAGAGCTGCTTTAATTAACCATCATACCACAGATGGGATCGATTTGAACCCCCCACCCCCCGCTCACAGGGTTGCTCTCATTCTTTCTCTCCATCTCCACCAACCTTACATGCCTTTCTCAACCCCCTTCTCTAAAGTCTTTCACCTACCTCTTCTTCTCTGCCTCTCATCTCTTGGCCCCTTTTCTCTATGGTCTCCCCTCTCTCTCTCTCTCCCCCTATTCTCTGCTCCCTCCTGCACTCCACTCTCCTGTACACAAGTCACATAATTGAACTGGAATAGAGCCAGCCCCCCCACCCCGCCCTTCCTTCATGCTGCCTGTTTCCCTGCATCCCATGGCCTCACCTGCTCAATACCTTATTAGTGTCAGGATCTGTGGAGAGCCATTGCGGATTAACTAGAGAGAGATGAGATTGATTTCTGCCCCTTGCAGATGAAATTGGGTTCAGTCCTTGTATCTTTGTGTGTGTGTGTGGGGTTGTGCATGACTCGTTGTACAAAAGAGAATGTGATGTCTTTTTTCCTGTGCTCAGGAGTGTTTCTTTTTAGCAAGGAAAATGAAAGCCAGCTAATTAACTATCCAGAAGCCCACATGTGTCTCTGTGTGCCTCTATTCTAATTTTTTCTCTTGGTTTTTCACTCCAGCATCTGCCTCTGCATTTCTAATCTCAACTCAAATCTGCAAGCGATTGCGGGCTGAGATGACCTGTTGTTGCACATGCTTGTCTTGGCCCTGGCATAAATAGCGTGCTATTGATTATTCATGGCTCCTGTGTGGCTCCTGTGTGTCGCTTGTGTGCCTCGGCAAGTGAAGGAGTTTAACAGGAGTCACCCATTGGAGGAGAGATTAAGGTCTCTTGTGGAAATAGTGTGGTGTGTAGAGAAAGGCGGGTGGTAATGACAGGTCTGGGTGTGGAAGATGGTTCTGGTGGGGTGGTATCAGCTGGGTTGTCTCTCAGGGTGGAAATAGTAAGGGATCAGGGCTCTTGCACAAAGAGCTTCGTCTAAAACCTAGATTCAGCTCAGTGTTTGACACAATGAATGTTAATGGGTTGTTTTTATGCACCAGGGCATGCTCATCTGGCACACTTTGCTTTTGTAATAGCTTGTGTTGTATTCCCTCAAGGTGTTCCTAGTGTTGAACTGTGTCTACAATTCTGTTTTAAGGAAATTTATAGTTTCTCATGTGGTTTTACTGCATTTTTCACATGTTGTGATATTGAGGTCTTGTGCATGTAATTTGTTCCCCCGCACCTTTGCTTGGGTTATCGAATTTAGTTGATCTACTTGTTCACCTCTTGTGTTTCCATGGTTAGTAGTTTCTTTTTTTTACCAGCATTCTAATCTGTTGGATTTTATTCATCCCAAATGCAACATCTGATGCAAACATTCTACAAAGCTCCAAAAAGAAAACGATGCTTGACTGCTTACATTTAAATAAGCCCACAATTACAAAACTGTTCAGTTTTTCAATTGTTATATTGTAAAAAACATCTTTAAGGAACCTAAAACAAAAAAAGATTTATTGATGTAAATATACACTCCAAAAAAGGTTCTATATAGAACCAAATCTGGTAATCCTAGGGGAATCTTTTTTGGATATCTTCAAAGGTTCTATGTAAAACTTTCCTGTGGCTCAGATGTTAGAGCAATGCACTATCAATGCAAAGGTTGTGGGTTCAAATCCCAGGGAAAGCAAGAACTAAAGAAAAAAAATATGTTCATTCAAATGTAAGTCGCTTTGGATAAAAGCGTCTGCCAAATGCATAAATGTAAATGTAAAACCAATGATCAAATGAAATAAATCAACTTTTCCAAGATATAGATAACCAGCATCTGAAAGTAGGACAATATAAACAACAAGTGCTACTTTAAACCACAAGTACCAAAAAGGCCATAGGAGTTTCTGTACGGTAACAAAGGGCTATAGCAGTGCCTCAAAAACCACAAAGATCCAGTAAAGAACCAAAAAGAGCTTACGGGGTGCTTTATAGGACCTTCAAATCTACAAAGAACCAGCAATGAACCATGTACTTACCTTTTTTAAGAGTTAAATACAACAATATGCTAATAATTCTGTAAATCCACAATCGAACCAATGAGGAACCAATCAGTTAATCACAGGTATACTTGACTCTCTGTGAGTTTTATGTAAAATCAGGATTATTTATATCCATCTTGATGAACTAAACTCTTATGAAGCATTAATATTACAAAAATCTACAACAACTAATCTTGACATCAACAACATTAGACAAATAGACAACAATATGTTAGACATATTTGAACATCTTTGGGTATTCGGAAAATGTGCTTTTATTTAGCTATTTATACACTTATCTGCAACTATACAAGATACTCTGCAGAGAGTTAGGATGAGTTATCACATCATTCATGCAGGTGGAAATGACTGACTAAATAAATGATTAAATATACATATACATATTCAGAAGGCTGTGTATTCAGAATATCACTGGTTATAAACACTGTGATTAATACTAATCAAAAAGTATAAAAAACGAGTCAAATTCTGTATAATTTTAGTGTTGTAGTCCTTCAAATATAAGTAGTTTCACAGATTTTATATAATGCGGGTATGCATTATTTACAACCATGTAAAAAAATGGTATTTTTCTTTTTGAATGTATAAATACTTTTACATTCAAAACAGCACAGCAATGTAAACAAACATTACATTCTCATCATCTAATATTTCATATTTAGTTTTCTGAACATTTTTTAATTTTATCTTGATTTACTTTGTAAACTGAAAAGAGAAAAATAACTGTATCCTTTATTTCTGTGTGCTAAAATCCTGTTTAAAAAGCATCTTGGAGTGAACTGAAGAGAGTGTTACCAAACCAAATGGTAAATGTTGCTGGTTTACTCAAATTATATTTTGTTCTTCTATTACTCTTTCAAGCAAATAGGATTATTGGCTCTGATTTCAGAGTCAATACAATAAGAAAATATCTATTGATTCTAAAATAGCTAAAAGGGACTAAAATATACTTTTTTGATTTAGTTGATGTTTTAAGCAGCTATAGAAAATGTAAAAATGCAATGAATTATGAAGCATTGTTTGGTGGAAGTAAAAAAAATTAGCTCACTTATAAAAAAATGTGTTCATGTTATTGATCCAATAAACAGAAACACACTTAACTGAACAAAATGAAAAATAATGAGAAATCTAGTGATATGGATGATGCAGGTGATCACATCACACAATAGTTTGTGTGTGTGCGTGTGTATGAGGCAGTGTCTGACCTCGAAACATAAAGTCCAAGCCTATTGTGGTGTAATTTCCTCGTCCAAAGGCTGGAGTGTTTGTGTCAGAGTGAGGCCTCGATGTGATTGCCTCTCTGTCACCAGTGTAAACCGAGGATAATGCCACGGCCACCTTCTCCGCTTCAAAAACGGGATCAACACAATCCAATTTCTCTCTCTCTGCAAAGATGGAATAATTTGAAAGAATGGAGTTGCCAAGCCCAGTGACTGGGATCCAGGGGGGAGATAAAGCGCTGTTAAAAAACAGCCATTACCAGAGGAATTGGGCAAGAGTCATTTCAGGAAAACAGAACCCCCCAAGCCAACAATACAGATGACAAGTGGCTTCCAAAACATCAAGTACGCGAAAGCCATGGGTAAATTGAGGTATCTAACTAGCAATCTAGTCCAAACTGAGCTCTGTCGGGACATGAGACATGCAGAGACATATTTTATGTGGATTACAGCTTAGGCACAGCAAAGATGAGGTTCCCATGCTACGGAGAAAACTTGCATCACATCGTTTTGCATTTGTCGACACTACACTTTAGGAGCAGTTACTGTTTTCCTTGGATGACTGCTAAAAATATCTCATTCTGTTTCAAAGCAGCTGGGCTCCAAAGTGTCTCAAGTGCCTTGGAATCAGGTTTTGTGTCTTTGCGTGAGAAAACTTCGAGCAGTAGGGGAAAAGTTTGAAAAGCTCTTGAAAAGTCACTAGTTCCCAGCTAGCTTTGAGGCCCTAATTGCTTTCAGGTGTCGTCCTCTCCATGTGCAGTGTCTCAGCAGAGGGAGAGCAGAAGTGATTTGTGTAGACGCTGGCGTTGCAGGAGGCCGTAGTGAAGCTGGGATGGGTTGAAGTAATCAGGATGGGGAACGAGCCTCTTCTTCTTGCCTATGTGTGTCAGAAGATTAGATCACACACAGGGAGGACGAAGGGCTCAGGTGTAAAACCTAATGTACAGATGCTCAAGAGTACGTTTGTGTTGTGGGGCTGTTGTGAAGTTTTCTGAGGGTCCATATAGCTGCAGACACGTGAACACACTTGTGTTTGTGGCTATATATATAAATATCAACTTTCAAACAGGATCTTTTTGATTTGTTAGGGAATTAGGGAATATTTTAGTAGCTCATTAATGCTTAAATGGGGCAGCACTGTGGCCTTCCAGTAATAAGGTTGTCGGTTCTAGGCTCGCCAGTGGAAGGAGTTTACATGTTCTCCCCATGCTTGTATGGGTTTCCTCCGGGTACTCCGGTTCCACCCACAATCCCAAAAACATGCGGAATAATCTAAATTCCCCTTAGGTGTGAATGTGTGACTGAGTGTTGCCCTGCGATGGACTGGCGACATGTTCAGGGTGTATCCCCGCCTCTCACCCAATGTTCGCTGGAGATGGGCACTGGCAGACCCTCGTGACCCCAAAAAGGGAATAAGCGGGTTAGAAAACGACCCTTAAAACAGTATTCCAAAAAAATCTGTAAGAACATCATTTTCTTGTTCATTTGTAACCTCCGAATGTCCAGATTTCCATTGCTACTGGTGTACTGGAGGATTAGAAATGCAACACGATTCACAACGAATCTTAAAATTGATCAAATCTATCAAAAAATTTACAAAAGAACAAAAAGTTATTAAAAATCCTGATAAAAAAATGAATTTTTTTTAGGATGATCATTAGGGTGTGGCATCGATTAACCAATAGTCTTCTTCATGATAGTGAATGGGTGGGCTGATGGGTAGGTGGCATTGATTAGCTACCAAGAGCCAATAATATTCTATATGTTCGGATGGGGTGATCATCAGTGTGTGGCCTCATTTAGCCATTGGGAGTCAGCAGTCTTCTTCTTGCATTGGTCAGCCGCCAGGAACCAATTGTCGTCTTCATGAAAGGTGGCGTGATCATTCAGGGTGTGGCATCGATTATCCACCAGGAACCAATAGTCTTCTTCATATTAGGTAGGGTAATCATAAGGGTGTGGTTTCGATTTTTCACCAGGAACCAATAGTCTTCTTCATAAAAGGTGGTGTAATCATCAGGGTGTGGCATCAGTTATCCACCAGGAACCAATGGTCTTCTTCATGAAAGGTGGTGTGATCATCAGGGTGTGGCATCGGTTATCCACCAGGAACCAATGGTCTTCTTCATGAAAGGTGGTGTGATCATCAGGGTGTGGCATCAGTTATCCACCAGGAACCAATAGTCTTCTTCATAAAAGGTGGTGTAATCATCAGGGTGTGGCATCGGTTATCCACCAGGAACCAATGGTCTTCTTCATGAAAGGTGGTGTGATCATCAGGGTGTGGCATCGGTTAGCTACCGAGAGCCAATACTCTTCTTTATATTAGGTAGGGTAATCATAAGGGTGTCTCCTTCCTGATAGCTGGGATGATCCGTGGGGAAAGGCATCGGTTTGCCACAAGGAACCAGTTCATGACAGGTGCAACACTATTAGTTTTCATTAGTTCACACTTAGTAAGAAGAGCCTTCATTTTGGATTTTATAGGCAAAAATGCAAAACAGTTAAAGTAAAAAAAAAGTGTGACCAACTTTTCAGGCTTAAAAAGGATCCTACTGGAGGTAGTGTCTGAGAGGGTCATACACAACTCCTTTTACATCACATATTTATGGTTTGGAGTGCCAGATGCATGGTGGCTGAAGGTGCTGCATGGAGTGTATGTGTGTGATTTTAGGATGTGGGGATCTGAGGTTGTGCAGGAGGGGGGTTGGCAGTCAGTTCAGCCAAGAGAGAGGGAGAGAAGACCAATAGCTAAGGCTGTGTGTCTAAGTGTCTCATCAGCATCCTACTCATGTTCCAGGCCCACGCTCTAACTGCGCCCTGACTTGATTGTAATTGCCTGAATTCAACTCCCGCTGCTCCATCCTGGCAATATAACTGGCACATTTTAACCCCAGTGAGCCTAGACACTGCCACACGGCCCTTTAGATGCTTAGAAAGATGTTATATTTGACTCCACTTGGGCTGCATCTGTGCATATACAGCCAAAGGTTTCCAAATATGTTGCTTTTCATTTCAATTTGAATTACCGTCAAGAAATGCGTCAAATTAGCCTTTGTGTCCCCCTCAATTATTGTGGTTTAAATATTAAATTATGTTGCAGTACCCACCAGAGGTTCTGTGACTGTCATTTGTTTAGCTAAATATTAATTATTAAAGGTTAATATGAAAGGTTCAACTTCAGAAAAGAGAATTTTTATTTAAATAAAAAGACATTGTCTTAAGTTTCAATAAATGTTTTAATCATGTATCAAATTCACTTTGTATGTATTTGATATTTTTATATAAAACCCAAATACAATTTATAATTTCTATATTTGTTTAAAACTGATCTTGTCAAGTCCTTAAATTTTTTTTAAATCGTTATCTATTTGGTAAATATGTTTTTTTTCAATAATGACTTTTACTTAACTTAA